GCCGCGACGCCCAAGAACACGAGCCCGACGGGCGTCGTCGTCGCGGAGCTCCGCGGCGCGCCGGCGCCGGCGCCGGCGCCGCCGGAGCCGCGGCGCCGGAGCTTCGGCGACAGCTCCTGGAACTCGTCCCGCGACGGCCGCGAGGAGCACGCCGCGGACGCCGCGGCCGCCTTCCGCAAGGCGACGGGCGCGATGCCGGGCGGCGGCGCGCGGATGCCCGGCTTCCCCGCCGCCCCGTAGTAGCCGCGCGCGTTCCCCGAGCGCCGCCGCGCGTCGTCCGAATGCCCGCGCCGGGCTCCCCGGGAGATCCCATCTCGGAGAGCTCCCAGGCGCACAAGGAGGCCCCCCGATGCGCTCAGGTCCGCGCGTCCCCCGCGCGCGAAAAACAAGAAGCTAAAGAATAGGCCTGAACTAGTACTACTCCCCCTACTACTAGTAGTCCGACTCGGAGTCGGAGGACTCGGAGTCGGCGGCGCGCGTTCGCTTCTTGTTCGCGCGGGCCTTCTTGTAGGCCGCCGTGGCGATCTTCATGTTGTTGCGGAACTCGCAGAGCAGGTAGAGGATGAAGATGAAATTACCGGGCTTCATGTACTTCACGGAATCTTTGAAGTTCTTCAACCTGCGCGCGACGGGGTCGATCGCGCGGCGGCGGCGCCGCCGAACGTCGACGCGGGACGCGCGGACCAGGCGAAGGTCTGTTCGCAGACCTCCGTGTTGCAACGGTCTGCGACCGTGCACAACTTTGGGTTGCAGTTCGCTCTGCAATAAGCTCCCGTATGATTCTTGAAATGCATCTTGTCGACCTGCGCGTAAAAGTCGCGGTCGATTCGACTTTCGAAGCTCTCGAGCTCGGTCGAATCGTAGTCGCTTCGGCTGGGCGAGCGGTCTTCGCTTCTAAAGGTTTTTCCGGACGCTGGGGCGCGCGAAATAGTCGATTTTTGCGAGTGCGGACGAGATTCGCACCCCCACCTGGTTGCGTCCCGTCCCCTCTCGCCGCTTCGCGAAGTGTCGTAAGTGACACGCGTCGTCGTAGAAGATTTGCTTAAATTTGAAGTGTGTCTCGTGTCCCTTGAGCATGCGGCCCAGCCGGTAATATACCTGGCTTAGGCTTTCGGCACCTATGAGTTCCGACAAGTGAATAATAATGCCGCAGTTCGTCACCATCACCTGCGCGGGGCGTCGAAGGGTCTGTCGCGGGGGGCGGCGTCGCGGGTACGCGTCGACGCCGGGGCGCGCGAGGATGCCCGCGGTCGTGTTGTGGCGCTCAGGTCTTTGATTTACCTTCAGGTTATTGACGCACGTCTTCGTCTCGTCCGCGTCGCGCTCGTCGACGCGGTAGACCTTGCCCGCGGCGACGCGGCGCGCGGCCTCCGCCTCGTACGCCTTGACGAGCACGTCGGGGAGGTTGGCCCGCGCGAACCATTCCTTCGCGCCTGACGCGAAAGAGCAAAGGAAACGCCTGT